GCACAAGGCCAGCTCGCAAAAGGAGCAAAGACAAAGCCGACGGCAAAGAAAGGAAAAGCTACACCGCCAATGAGCTTTGCAACAGCATGCCGGCCATCGTCGCCAGACAATTCTACCAACAAGTCAAACGCTTCCTGCGATGGCTTAGCCCAGAATTACAAGAAGCCGCAGAAGACAGCGATTCCGAACCAGAATCCAAGAACGAGGACCACGCCTCAGCCCAGAGTTCCGAGAACAGCAGCTCCGACGAAGCCGCCACGCCCAGAGACCACCAAGACAAAGACCGACCAAGAACCCGTTATACACGTCACAGGTGGTCACCCCCTTTCCACGTACATGACTACGTGGTGCGGGTGGAATGGCAAAAAAGGGGTTACCCTCACGTGCACATACTCCTCTGGACACGAGAAAGAGTTCAGCCCGGCCTTCCACCGGCACAACTCTCACCGGAGGACATCGAGCACCTCACGGACGACGAAGCTGCACGCAAGATCCACCCAAACACTGTAGAAGACCTCACGGACAAGTTCATCTGCAGCACAAGCCCCGAACGGTGGAAAAATGTTCACCTGAAGCGCAGACCCGACAGAGCCGACTACAAATGCCTCAGCAGCCTGGCAAGCCTCCAAGCGCACCATTGCAACCAATACTGCAGACGACACGCAGGCAACCTCCAGTACTGCAGGTTCGGGTATCCACATGCGCCAGAACCAAGAGCACGAAGACGCACCGCCAAGGAACAGTGGAGCCGGCGCGTCAAATCCAGCATCGCCGTCCGACGGCATCCGGGCACAAAGCAGACACCCGACCCCCTCAACGGCACAGGAACACTTATGGGACAGTACAACAAAAACATACTGCTGGAGTGGCAAAGCAGCACAGACCTACAACCCATATGCGAACTCACCATGGCCTCGCGCTACATCCTCGGCTACACCTTCAAATCCGAAGAAGACCACGTCGCCGCCAGAAGAGTGGAGCGCCTCCTAGAACAGTTCGCCCAAAAGGAAAACCCATTCCATCAGACGACGTACAAAATCGCGCATGCAGCGACACAAGCACGAACCGCCTCCACATTCGAGGCCTGTCACCTCCTGCTGGGCTACCCCGTGGTGCTCTTCTCCCGCCATCACATCTGGATCCAGGTCGGTCGTCCCCAGACCTGGACTCTCTGGGTCCGACCGCAGGACGTAAGACTAGCCATAGCAAACCCCGATGCCTACGCAAGCCAGCACGTAAACGAACTGCCAGCCGCCCAAGAAAAATACGCCAGCATCCAAGACTCCATGCCAGAGACAATCACCGACGTTCCCGTAGAAGGAACGGGCCGAGCCACAACCCAACGGCCCTGGAAAGAGATCAGCTTCTTCGACTACTGTGCGGGATTCTTCCAGCGAGGACAACCACGCGGTGCCACTCCGTGTCCACTGCCAAGAACTAGACCAGCCATCGTAGGACACCGACAGTTCAGCCCAGACACCGACACCGAAGATTACTATTTTTCGAAGCTCCTACTACACCACGTCTGGAAGAGACCAGGCGACTGGCTAAAGCCCGAAGATGGAGGAAGTCACGCTAGAGCATTCACACGCATCGTCTCAGACAGCCAAACCTATCCCCACTTCATGAGCTCCATCTGCTACCCCTGCTTGAACAACACGATCGCAGCAGCAAGAGAGATCCAACGCGTCCAAGCGACCATGTACCTCAAGGCGAGCATCCGCTCAAGCCTGCGAGGTTGGACGCTGAGCAGATTCGACCAGGACAAGTACAAAGACTCAATTAAAATCATGCAGAGTCTTCGCAATCGACACGGACGCGACTTCGACTTCGATGCACCGGATAACGTACCTTCAGGCATAGCAAGCGACGCTTTCGCCCCCGTGGAAGCCGGCGAGGACAAGCTCGCTTTGCAAGCTACCGTCTAACTTGAAGACCCTAACAAAAAAAAACACAACAACATCTACCCCCCTCCCCATCCCTCTACCTCTTCTGTCAGGAATGCTTCGAACTACTACAAACAGACGCCAGCAACGAGCACATCACGTACCAAAGAACTGTCATGGACTACATCATATCCTTCGTCTTGGAAGCCCCCAAATCCACGTCCAAGCCCGACGAACAGTTGAAGCTGATCGTGCATGGACCGGGTGGCAGCGGCAAATCCGTCATCCTGCGAGCAGTCGCACACAAGCTGCGGCAAGCAGGCGTCGGCGTGGTCATCACCGCTCCAACAGGCGTCGCGGCGTTCAACATCAACGGCGTTACATTGCACACCGCACTGTCTCTTCCGGTCACCAACAACAGCTACGGAAAGTCTACGGACATTCCACCACCGCGCGGCATTCAGCTCGAGAGCATGCGAACGCTCTGGAAACATGCCAGAGTGCTCTTATTGGACGAGTTCGGCTTCGTGTCGGATGAAACCCTCGAAAGAATCGACCGACACCTGCGACTGGCCACCGGCAACGATGTAATTCCATTCGGTGGCATCCACCTCGTCCTCTTCGGAGACCTCTACCAACTGCCGCCACCGCACGGCAAACCCATCTTCGCCTGCGAGCGACACTGGAGCCAGTTCCGACTGCTGGAACTGCAGGGGAATCAGAGAGCCGCGCAGGACCCCGCATGGGCAGAGTTGCTGGCCAGGCTACGCGTCGGACAATGGACGGAGCAGGACGTCCGCGTCCTCCAGAGCAGAGTCAGTCGCCGGAGGAATGGTGTGCAACCTGCTCGCAACGCCATGCACCTTCACGCCACACGGGAAGCCGTTGCCGTGACAAACGCACGCATCTTTCAGCACCACGTCGAGGAACAACACACCCGCTGCTACGAATGTCCCTGCATCGACACGTACACGAAGACCGGCGAGACTGCCGACCCGAGCAACAGCTACATCGACCCAGAAGACACCGGTGGACTCGAAAACCTGCTCACTGTGGCCATTGGCAGTCGAGTGATGTACAAACAGAACTGGGACGTGAGAGACGGACTGGTCAACGGCGCCTGCGGGGAAGTGCAGTCCGTCGAACTCCTCGACGACGAAATCACCACCATCTGGGTCAAATTCGACAAAGCCGGAAAGAGATGGTGCGACCTGCACGAAACACCCGCTGTTGCCGTCCAACGACGAAGCGCCAACTACTGGGGCAAAAATGCGCAGTGGATCCAGAGACGGCAGTTTCCCCTCGTACTTGCCCACGCCAGCACCATCCACAAAGCACAGGCCGTCACGTTACCGGAAGGCATCTTCGCGGACCTCGGCCGAAGCATAAGGAACCCGGGTCAAGCATATACAGCCCTAAGTCGCGTGCCAAAAATGTCCTTGGCCGCGTTAAAGAAATTCAACAAAAACAGTCTCATCTACAACAAGGACGCGGAGTGGGCGCTAACGACGCTGTACAGCGCACAACACAAGCTGCCCAGACACAGCAACGAAGGAATCGAAACCTTGTGGAAGACCCTCACTGCCAAGCACAAGAACCCGATCTACTACAAAAACAAGCTCGCAAAGCTCCAGAAGCCGGACATCTTGGTCACCGACCTCTTCGCACAAAAAAAGCAAGCCAAGCGGTCGCAGAAGAAATCCAGAACCACCAAATCTCAGAATGCCTCCAAGCTAAATTGCCTGCCCGCCCACAAGCACAAGTGCCGAACTACGTAAAACAATTAACAGACCCGACAATCCCCCCCCCCACACACCCGGAAGCCATCGTCGCCCGCGACAGAGGCACAAAGCAGCAAGCAGACCCAGCCTTCCGTTCCACGGCAGAACCCACGAACGAAAACCCGAGCAAAATCAACAACGGCCGCGACGAGCTCAGCAGTCTTCTTCCAAAAACAGGAACGGGCTCTGTGCGGATTGCATGCTCTCAACAACGCTCTGGGAGACGACATTTTCGGAGAAGCGGACCTCGTCTACGCCGCCAACCAGTTCCTTCTCGAGAACCCGGAACTTCAAGACAGCACCGAAGACCACATGTCCGGCGACGGATGGTTCTCCTCCGAGGTCCTCAGCACAGCACTCTTAACGAAGGCCATGGCAAAACACGACCGAGTGACCTGGCGACTCGACCTCAATCCAATAACCGAGCCAGAAGACTTGGCAAACTACGTAGGAGCCCTGCAAAATCAGAACAGCCAGCACTGGATTGCGTACAGAAACATCAGCGGCAAGTACACCAAGCTCGACTCACTCAAGGCAAGTCCCACGATTATCAGCAAAAGCACCTTCCTGCACGAGTTGCGCGAGCATCCCAACACTTACGGCATTGCCATCATCTGATGCCAACCCGGACCCGAACGAGACACGTACAAGCGAAGGCAAACAAAAAGTTCGCCTCGAAGCCTGTCACGCCACAGCTCCGGAACGAGCACACACGGCAACAACGAGAAGTCACTAATTCCGTGCCAGCAAGTGCCACGCAGGCAACACGTCTAGATCCACCAACCTCCCTCTCAGCCTCCATCACCCATGCAGGAAAGCACATCAAGGCTCCGACTAGCCTCACAGTGCGCCGACTTGGCCCTTCGCGACATGTCGTTACTACATCACGCACAGCAACTGTAACAACAACATGCGGTGAAGGCAGACACGTAGGCGTGCACCTACAGGCAAACACCATGCAAACATGCATGCAGGCATGCGTACACAAACCCAGTCGTCTACAGAAAACAAACACAGACACACACACACACACACACACACACACACACTCACACTCACGCACACGCACAGACACACATGCACATACACACACACACACAAACACACACACACACACACACACACCAGAGACGCGAGCACAGAAGCCATGATAGTCGGCGCCGACAAAGAAGCTGTTTCCTTGTCTTCACTCCAAGCCGACGACATTCTGCATGACACATTGAGACCGAAAAGACGAAAATGCGTCCCCGAGCAACACGAACATCAACAATGTGGGGACATGCAAACCAAGGACATGCACGACATCGCACACCCGCCGGACGACGTGGATCACATGCGACACATCAACCCGCACGAAAAAGACTGCCACATCACCTTCGACACATCCAACCACAAGTACTTTTGGAAAGGTGCCCCAGTCCCCACATCCGTCACTCAACTGGTACATCGCTTTACACAACTCTTCGAACCTCAACACACCATCGACACCATGCGATCCGGCACAAGATGGCCGCGCGCAGACTACCTGGACCTGCACGCCTTGCAGAACCTGGGAGAAAAGGACTTGTCGATCCTTCCGGAAGACTCCGCACAACTGAAACTCCTGCTTGAAAACCCCGCCACGCATCTCGAGCAGATTTGCCTCCATTTGAATCGCCTGCGACACGAGCACCCAAAACTCGACAACTTTTGCCAGAGCTTGACTTTGGACGACGAAACCATCAAAAGCAAGTGGGACGCAAAGGCAAAAAAAGCGTCCGAAGCAGGCACACGCATGCACGCCCAATTCGAGCACCTCCTCAACGGTGGAGCAATCGCACAGCTAACACCAGAAATCCAACTGTTAGTAGGATTCCTGCAACACATCAAGAATGCCAAAGCCTATCGGACAGAGTGGAAGATCTACAGCGAAAAGCACGCGCTCGCAGGCACCATAGACTTTGTTGCGGAACACCCCAACGGCGACAAGCTCATCATCGATTGGAAACGAACCAGCCAACTAAAGCAGAAGCACCAGAACTATGGCAAGCAAATGCTGCCGCCCATCGAACACATGCCGGACTGCCCCGTCTCGCACTACAGACTCAGCTCAACATATACCGACACATCCTCGTAGCGGAATACGGACAGACTGTGCGAGATATGTACATTGTCGGCACGCATCCAGACAACGGCGAGAGACCATGGATCGACATCGTGCCCATTCTGGAAAACGAAACCACTCAAATCCTGAAAGCAAACGACAGCTGCACAGTCCCGAGGCCGGTGAACACTGCAAATGCGCAGGCCTTCAACGTGGCACATAAACAACCGCCACAAGACTCAACTGTCACTCCTGCTTCGTCCGCACTTACAACAAGCAAAACAACGACGACAACAACCCACCAGCACGCAAATGCAACCCGCGGCACGTATCAGAACACACTTCAGGACTAGACAATCCACGCGATGCGCCAAAGCTAATCGAAAAAACAACGAACACATGCACGGATTCAGTCCAAGTAGTGCCAGTCCGCGCAGTCGCAAATCAATCCATTTAACGTCTCACTCCTTCGCCATGAGGACTTTACAGCACGTGACAACGCGCGCGCGCGCGAAAAGGAGATTTTTCTTCAGCTGACAACCAGCCACAAAAGCGCTTCATGGTGCAACCTCATTTCACCAGAACTTTGTTCAAGTGTTAAGAAAACATTACGCACTCATCCGAGGCATCGACTGTAAAGCAAGGCTCCCAAAACCCTACACCACACCAGTACCCAACAACCAAAGACGAAGCGCCAAGCAACCCACAACATCCCGCCTCGGATGGTTGATCGCGATGATCCGAAGCCATAGCAGCCTGCCACAGGAAAGGAGCATCCGAATAATTCACTGGATGAAACACCGATGTGCCTCTGGGACCACATCCTCCGACGCCTCCTGCCAGCAGGTCCCGAATCCACCACATGCCAAAGCACAGGACCGAACCAGGGATTGGCGATGGAACCCCGCCTCACTTTACTTCCCGGCCGAGTCAGCCAGCATAGCCTCCGTCAAGGAAACCACAAGCAACCCATACCCCGCGATTGCGACCCAAGCCTGGCTCTCCGACGAGGCGATATACTGGCACATCGACGACTCACCGAATACCGAAGCAAAGAAACAAAACTCTCCTGCAATGACGAAGCTGCTGATCACGGCGATGATACAGCTCCCGATGGAGGGACGTCCTGGCCCATCGCCGACTCGCCGAATGCTGAAGCAAAGAAACAAAACACTCCTGCAATGGCAAAGCTGCTGACCTCGGCGATGCGGAATCTCGCGATGGAGGATCCTTCCGTGGTTCGGTTGATCCAACAAACAACAAGAAATAGTAGTCTCCTCAGGCGCCTCCGGCACAGACGCCACCACAGCCGACGATGAGGGGTTCTGCGGGATACTGAATGGTTGGAGCAACGACGGCCAGAGCTACGAACCACATGACAACGAAATATCCTCAACTTAGTGGTCCACTTGCTGGGCCGCAAGACGACGATGCTCTGCACTCACCTGGCTTGACGGGACTGCTGTTGCTATGTCCATTTGGGATGCTGGGGGCTGTACCCGCATCCCTGAAGAAGCTCGCCAGCGCAGGTCACGATGTCATTCCTGACTGCCAGGGAAAGTGCCGCCAGGGCAACAGCGAGGCCCCGATCATCTAACAAGGGAGCGCAGCACACCAACTAGCAACCGTTCTTCAAAGGCTACATGGAAGACATGCGAGGAAAACTCGGGGCGTTGCTGCATGTTACATCACGTGTTAACACACGTCAAAATGAGCCGAAGCAGTGCTGCACAATGGACGGTCAAGGGCAAGGATACCGGCTCATGCCCTGGATGCAGGATGCACACACACACACACACACACACACACACACACACACACACCGAGCGACCGGCAAAACTGAGGGACCGGGCACGAATACCCAAGCGACTCCAGATGGTGGCTACCTAGACTGCCCTCTTGTTTGAGCAAGAGTCCTCAGTAGAGAGGCGAATGCTTGCGACAGCAAAGCATGGATCACAACAAGCGTGAACGAAGCTACTGTACAGGCGGTAAACAAAATAAATGCAGAAGAAATCGCGTGGATCTCAAGCGTTCAATTCACAATCGTTTTCGCGTCATTCTTTGATCCAGTATCAACCTCACGATGACGTTACCGATCTCTTCTTCTCTACCTCTCTCTCTCTCTCTCTTTCTCTCTCTCTCTCCCTCTCTTTTTTTGTTACATTTATATACGCAAAAATACGTATAGTACCAGAAGAGTCTAGATGTGCAAATATGCGTATTTCCGTGTCTGTGCTCGGCCGTTTTTTTTTTGGGCATGGAAGACGCGGCTTCGACTTCCACTCACGCCAGCCGCAGTCCTGGTGATTCAAGCTTCCGCATCGCATGCCCTTTCAAGTTAAATTCTAGGCATCGGACGTTTCGATGTGGGCTTGAACATCCACTGGAGTAGCAGATCTCCGGCTCCGTGCTTCGTCATCAGACGCCTTACCAAACAAGCATGACCCACCAACGGTCCAATGGTAAGGCCCTCGCACGTCCAGTTCAATCTCGTTGGCGTACCATTCAAGTACCCTGCCGACGACACTAGCAGCAGATGACAGAAAACAGAAATGTAAGCATCCTGCCTCAAACGGTGCTCGATCACCATCTGGATGGCGTGGACGAACGGGTCTGTCGAAGTTGTTGGCCAGTCTACGACCTCGGACAAGTCAAACTTATATAGTATAGTTTCACTTCTACTCTGCCTTCTTGTACACATCGTACACGAAGTCGCCTAATGACGTATCATAGTCCAAGACCACGTAACAGCTATCATAAAGAGACCGACCTGCGTTGACCTCTGCCAGCAAAGCCCGCTCCAGGTCAAAGACCTGTCCACGCAATGATTCACGAGTCCTTTGCGATGACTCCCCAAACCTTGGCCGTGTGGCTATCACTCCACCAGCTCGGATACCTAAATCGCAAACCCAAAAAAACACTGACGAAGCATGGAATCGCGAGCAACACTAAGCCGAGGCAGGAACCGAAACTGTGGCCCGTCCTCTGCTTCAATGTGGATCGTAGGCATCGAAGCATAGATTGAACCTCACACGACGGCGGGAAAATAAGTGGAGGAACAAATCGACCTCCGAGAATGCGGCCGGGGAGTCCAGCCATGTCGACCTAGAACGACGGAGACACGCGTATGAATCCGGTAGAATCAACTTCCGGGGACAGCACGACAAAGAAAAGCCGAAAAAACAGGGACGCGGCACTGAGAGAAACAGCTGCCGGAGGGCATAAATAGGTGTATTAGACCATCACACTCGACCCCGAGAGCAAAAGCTTGGTGCGCTTGTAAATGTCCGTGTTGCTACTTGGTCCTTCTTGATCAGGTTCTGAGGATGAGCAAAGGACTGTTGCACATGTGCAAATCTCTGATCTTTGTTGTCTTTTTATTCCGTCTTGCCTATTGCTGTTTTCGTGTCCTGAGACGAAAGAGGTCGGCCTAGCAGTGGCTTGGACTTGCTGTGTGGTTGCATCAGCCTTCAATTGACTCAAACCTCGCCTTGGGTTTGGCTTCCATAACCGGGAACCTCCCTTCAGTCACTTAAACCTCGCTTGAAACTCAGTCCTTCACTTCACTAAACGTTCGGGACTCGCGTCTGGACTTCACCTGTATCCCGCCTGGGTCTCAAGCCTTAGATTCACTGAAACCCCTTAGGGTCGGAGCTTTAGGTTTTTTACACCGTGCGTGGTATTCCATTACATTTTTTTCGAATTGAAGCAAATACACTTGATATCATATCCTTGGGTATGCATAGCCGCTGGCATAAGTTATTGCAATCGAGTTTAAGTAAATTGAATTGATTATTCCGCCACCAAATCAAAAGCGCTCGCGGCTTAAGCCTTCAAATTACTTAAACCCCGCTCGGGGCTCGAATCTCTCATTTCCTTAAGTCTCCCGATTGGAGCACGACCTCTCGTTTTACTTCAACCTCTCATTTTCCTTAAACCTCCCGATTGAAGCTCGACCTCTCAATTTACTTTGAACTCCCGCTTAGGGCTCATCCTCTCAATTTACTTAAGCCTCCTGCTTAGGGCTCAATTTCTCAGCTTACTTGAACCCCCCGCTTGGGACTCGCTTGGAGCTCGAGCTTGAATTCGCCTTCAAAGAAACCGCTCGAGGCTTCAGCCTTCAATGCGGCGATGATGATGCCCGTACTTGTCTGCACTCCTGGCCTAGTATGCCGGAAGCTCCAAATCAGGTCGTGCATAGTGCATATTGCAAGCCTGAGGACGTGTTAATTGAATACGTACATGCAAATATGTACACTTACATGGTCCGTTTGAACATTCGCTGTACCCAGGAAAAACTCGCCATTGTGTATACACGAGAAGCACTTCCCTACACGAGCTTCATTATCAACCTCGCGACGATGATACTCGTCGCTGCAACTTTGGATGTGCTTTTATGCCGTGCATTTGCATAGTTTGATGGCGTTAACACCGTGACTGTTTGGCGCGCGACGATGATGGCAGATGTAGTGTACAAGCGATGGCGATGGTGTTCCACAAGAAACAAACGTTTGCACACGATCTGGTTTATCCCGGATCGGAATGACGATCGTGATACTGGTATTTGCAACTTATGCACACCGCCAATTACGCGCCCGCCCTGCCCCCCCCCCTTTCGCTCTTCCTCTCCCGACATGCTTCGGTTTAAGTTTGCATCCACAGAGCAAAACCCGTTTTTACGTCTGGTGTTCCACAAGAAACAAACATTTGCGCACAATCTCGCTCATCCCGCATGGGAATGGTGATCGCGATACTGGTATCTGCAACTTGTGCACACTGCGAATTACGCGCCCGCCCTGCCCCCCCCCCCCACCTTTCGCGCTCCTCTCCCGACATGCTTCGGTATAATTCTACATCGACAGAGCAAAACCTGTTTTTGCGCCTGGTGTCCCACAACAAGGCAAGGTTTGCGCGTGATCTCATTTATTCTGCATCGGAACGACGCGATACTGGTATTTGCAACTTGTGCACACTGCCAATTACGCCCCCCCCCCCCCTTTCGCTCTTCTATCCCGACATGCTTCGGTTTA